TGCACCTTAAAAGTTATTACAACGATTTAACATTAGATGAAAACTCTGCCGAAGAAAGGAATATAATTAAAACTAGGTGTTATATTATGTTATTAATTGGTTCATTATTATTTCTCAAAGGTAGTGGTTATAGTATACATGTTACACATTTACCCTTATTAAAAAAACCTAGGTAAAATAGGAATATATAATTGGGGTTCGACTTGTTTATCTTATATCTATAGCTCTTTGTGTAAAAATGCAAAGAAAGACATGTCTACATTTTATAGTTGTACCGTTTTGCTTCAAGTTTGGGGTTGGTCTAAATTTTTTTCCCTAGCGCCCATCAACAACAACAACTTCACATTTCTCTACGCATAAAAGTACATTGATAACATTATTCCCATTTACTTACTTGACCCTTTATCATTTCTAAATAATTTATTTTAACTTTTTTGGTTTAGGTGGTCGGCTCGTGGTATGACTTAACAATAGATGTCCTAAACACTGGACCACTAAGTATCACAATCTCTCGATTCACCTAACATCAGACGATGTATTGCCACCAAACTAATCATTTCATAATAATTAATTTTTAATATTGCCCATTTAATGATCTAGTTTTTTTCCTCTACCGTTTATTTGACGGTCATATATAGGCTTGAAACATCATCATGAAATCAGAGAAGAAGATGTAGTCGTTTGGATTACATGCACATCGGTCACCAGATTCACCACTATGGAGATGCACCATAGTGATCGTGTGAAACTGCAGTTCTGCATGTATCAACAAATCTCAAATCCCCCGTCATGCCTCAGACAATGGCATCAACGTAAAATTAATGAACAATGAGCCTTTGACAATTGAAAATACTACCTCAGTTCATTTATATAAGAGACAATTCACATTTTGGATTCATTGAATAATCAATGTATCTAGTCTATAAATCGATCAAATACATAGGTTATTCAATGAATCTAAAAAGGAACAGAGGTAGTACTTCACTAAAGTTGAGTATCGTAAATGAAGGCATTGTCATCAACGAGTCTTACTTGACATTGTCATGCTAACTGAAGCTAAACCAACTAATAATTATATGTCTTGGTACATATCAGTTGTAATTGGGTTTTTCTTTGAAGGTAAGTATTTATATGACCCATGCCAAATCACTTACACAAAAAAAAACTTCAACGTCTAACCCCAACAAAATTATCAGACCACCTACTTACCACCCCAACCCAACAAAACTAATGACCAAGAAACACTCAAACCCACAACCAATAAATACCAGACACCCAACCATAAAACAATGGCATATTCCATGGTTCATACCACCAACAACAAGATGCTTATTACCAAAACACCCAACATTCATATGCCCCTAACACATCATCCTATCATAGCCAAAACACGCAAGAAGCATATAACACCAACATTTCCTCCTGCCATAGCCAAAACGCCCAAACACCATAACACCAAGACATCCAATAAACACGGGGTTACCAAACACCACAATAATCATTTCTTCCTCTCTCCAACGAATAATTCACATCAATGTCACCATTCAATCGACTAGTCCGCACACTAATAACCCCGTCAACAAAACCCAATTACTTTGACATGGGTTACAAACTTAGTTACGACTGCGCATCAATGCATACTCAATACTACTTAAAAATTCAATAACTTATTAGGGTATCTAGTGATGGTGATGTTCTCGGGACCTCAAACCCTCAAACACCGGTGGCCGGTATGACCAACCCCAGTGTAAAAAATATTACTGCATGTAAAAGTAATTTTAATTAAATATTGATATTTTATATAATTTAATAGTTTATTATTTTAATTAAAAAATATACTGACGCGTCAGATGAATTGACGCCAGCTCTTCCACTTTAAATATGGTCGCAAATTGGATTAGCTACGCTAACGAAAGACGCCAATTCAATTGGCGACAACTCTTATTTTTTAAATGGAATCATCAATTTATTTGGTAACTCCTTTGTGTTTCAAATTTTTTTAAGTGAATTATTTTTTGTTGGAATTCAACCACTATCTATGGTGAATTCTTCTCAATCTTGATCTCAAGATTGTTATGTTAGAACACAAATTGGTTCTTAATAATTACTCTTTGTTTTGATGATAACTGTTAGGAAATTTATATTTAAGAATTATATACTCTAAAATTTGTTTGAGAGTTTTACTGCAGATTGAAATTATATTAACTCTCTAGAAACAAATCTGCCCTGAATACAAGAAGTTATTCTGACTCTGAAGCGCCAGATGCACCTCACAGAAGAATCTGTTTGGTCCTCACAGAAGATCCTGAGCGTAGTCTCCAGAAGGATCTGAAGAAAGAAGCTCCAGAACATTCTGAGTCAGAAGCATCTGAAGATAATCAGAAGCATCTGAAGATAGTCAGAAGCATCTGAAGCTGAAGCATCAGAACTATAGAAGAATATTGATTGAAGAGTTTCTCAAAGCATTGACCTACAGAAGTTTCTGAAAGTACCTACGCTGCCAAGTACTGAAGTTTTGTGTCAAAATGCTCTGATGATCAACACGCTAGAAGCACACACGCTGCAGAAGACTCTGATACAGCATAGTTCTGAATCTCATTAGAAGACTCTGATCCATTCAGACTCTGAAGAACTTGCTGAAACTGAAGAAGTATTTTCAAGAATATATCCGTTGGAAATATTCAACGTCTCTTTCCTTATTTGTGCTAGACACACTTACACAGACAAAAAGGATTTTTCTGTGCCATCTATTTCAAGGAAAGGTCAGTTGATGTGAAGACAAAAAGGCTCAGACCTTTTGGGACTCTCTTTTCAACGTTCAGCTTGCATGATTCAACTGCCTATAAAAGGAGATCTTCACTTCATTCTTCAGTGCTACACACTTGCTGAAAAGAAATCATAATATTCTAAAAGCTTTCATTCTTATTCTTCATAGAATCTCATTGTACTTAAACTTAAGAGAAAAATCACTGTTGTGATTATAGCTTTATAGAAGCATTAAAAACTCTTGTATTTAATTTACATTGATTGTAAAGGATATTCCTTAAGAGGATTCAGTTAGAATCAGTAGCTCTTGAGAAGACTAAGAATTGTTGTTCTTAGGTGATACTATTGTAATCAGTTTGATTTAATAGTGGATTAAGTCCTTGTTGAGAAAGGCAAATCACTCTGGAAGGGTGGACTGGAGTAGTTGTTAAACGAACCAGGATAAAAATAATTGTGTGATTATTTTCAAGTCTTAATTTTCCATACTTATTCAATCCCCCCCTTTCTAAGTATTATCTTACCTTCATGTTATGTAATGGCAATGAACAAAAAAAAAGAACACGTTTAAAGAAGATGAGTATGAACTGCAGAATAACTCTCTGCCCACAACTGTGAAATTTTATTATCACTTTGCAACTACAAAACTATGATTATCAAACTTGATTATTACAATGATAAAGGTTCCTCCATATTTATAGATTTAGGTTAACTTGCATCTCAAGCTAAAGCTCAAACTGTAAAAGCCCAAAAATATCTAATCTAATATTTCTAAATCAAATATGATCTTTCTAAATCAAATCAAATATTTCTAAAACAATGAATTACATATTTAACACACCACCTAATTCATTGCGTCTAAACTATCTACATTCATCATAGATCTTAACTTTTTGAACACTTCGACTGGAACTCTCTTCGTCATGATGTCTGTAATCTGATTCTCATGTTTGCAGTGTTCCAAGTTCATCTTCCATTATGCTACATGTTCTCAAAGATAATGGAACCTCATTTCGATGTGCTTGCTTCGACCATGTGCTATCAGATTCTTCGCCAGATTGATAACTGACATAATCTTCATGGTAATTGCTCCATGACTCTTCCCTGTAATCTCTTCGACCAGGTTCACCATCCATGCTGCTTGACATGCACAAAGAGAATCAACTATGTATTCTGATTCACATGATGACAATGCCACCACTGGTTCCTTTCTCTAACTCTAAGCAACTGGTGCACCACTTAACATAAACATATAGTCAGCTGTGGATTTTCTATCCTCAACATCACTGCACCAACTTGAATCAGTGTATCCCACTATCTTGCATTTTTTCCTTCATCAACTACAGGAAACAAAATACCATAGTCGAGAGTTCCTTTCAGATACCTCAATATCCTCTTCGTCACTGCTAGGTATCTAAGTGATCGTTCGGGTGATTCATCATCGCCTTCACAATTTTCTTCCCTTGAATCAAAACTAGATCTCTGATACCATATGTTGGAATTCAACCACGATCTATGGTGAATTCTTCTTAATCTCAATCTCAAGATTGTTATGTAATGACAATGAACAAAAAAAAGAACACGTTTAAAGAAGATGAATATGAACTGCAGAGTAACTCTCTGCCTACAACAGTAGAATTTTATTATCACTTTGCAACTGTAAAACTGTGATTATCAAACTTGATAATTACAATGATAAGAGTTACTCCCTATTTATATATTTAGGTTAACTTGCATCTCAAGCTAAATTTCAAAAATATCAAATCTAATCTTTCTAAATCAAATCTGATCTTTTTTAAATCAAATCTAATTTTTCTAAAACAGTAAATTGCATATTTAAGATTTTTAAAATTATACAGGAAACATCATTATCATTGGAATAAATTTGAAAAACATGGTTCTATCCCTAAAAATTTCAAGATTGCATATATGAATATATTCGGTACAAGACATTTCTTTATAGTTGATTTGTCACAATGACACCCTTAACCGAATTACATCCAATCAGAAAACAGAACCACCGAAAATATACAAATAAGAAACACTCTAAATAAAATAAAAACTTCTGTCAAATAAAATAAAATAAAAACTAGTAAGAAAATTAATAATGTTTTCATCTAGGGTAATAAATAAAAACTTTTTGATAGAAAATGGCCTTGGTTTGGTCATTGGGTTTCTTTCTCCATTTTGAAGAGTGACTCAAGAAAAGTTTGGTAGAAAGAAAGAAGAAAGAAGCTATGGGTTTGATCGGTGAGACTGTGGATTCTATCAAATCTCTTCAGATCCGTCAGGTCCTCACTCAGGGTGTTAGTCTTGGTTCGTTCTCTTTCTATCTCTTTTCGTTCAATCCATACCATCAAAATTCTCTTTTTACGTTATTTAACTTCAATTTAGGAGCTACATTGACGTCGGTCGATTCTGAAAATGGATAAATTTTAAGTTTTAGATGTAAATTCTCTCTTTTAGGGTTTATGTTATGTCAAGAATGAGCCATGATTTTGTTTTATTTTAGGATATAGGGTTTAACTTTAACAGTCACAATTGAGATTCTAGGTTTTTCATTTTGTGGTTCATGGGTTTAGTTAGTAGTAATTGGTGGTTACTCTCTGGGGGGTGATTAGAAGCTAAATTTGATGAAGGAAAATTGTGAGGATGAACACTATGTTAAGTAGAATTGTTTACAGATCATTGTTACTTTCTTAAAAAAAAATCCCCCTTGTTTCTTTATATTATGTATATAAATTATGCTGGAAATAGTACTTTGATGTTTTTCTCTATTTATGCTATCCTGGATTTATGGTCTGTTTTATGCTTCAGGCATGATTGTTACGTCTGCACTGATAATATGGAAGGCATTGATGTGCATCACCGGCAGTGAATCTCCTGTTGTTGTTGTTCTTTCTGGAAGTATGGAACCGGGATTCAAGCGGGTAAGCCAATCTTATGCATGGAAGCTTTGGTAATTCTGTATCGAATATTTTCTACAATAATACTATAATAGTATGGTGTCATAATGAAGAGAGAATCTGTGTTTATATTCTAATCTCTTGTCAATATAATTTGTGTAATTCTTTCTGTTGCTAATGAATGTTGGCTTTTTTCAGGGGGACATCTTGTTCTTACACATGAGTAAGGATCCAATTCGCGCAGGGGAGATTGTTGTATTTAATGTAGATGTAAGTTCGCCTCTCGGTTTTATCCTCTATGGTTTGTTTACTTCAATTCATATCTATGTATCAGCATTTTCTTATTCTTTGTGCTCTGCCTGATACTTACCTTTCCTTACTGACAAAATCTATTGGTATGCACCTGTTTTTCTTTAGGGACGAGAGATTCCGATCGTTCATCGTGTAATTAAGGTATGCTCAATATTTTGTTGGAATAGTATGTTTTTTCAAACAGCTGCATTATTACTGAATGCGGCTCTGAGGCAAAGTGCTCTGTATCTTCTCATGTGAAAGCATTCGATCAGAGGATTCCCGCACAGTTTTTTCTTCTGGCTGGAAAGTTAGAAAAAAGTGGTTTTCGGGATAGGTAGATATGTTTCATTTTAAGAATGTTCATGGACACCTATTCAAACTGTAACTACATACATTACATAACGGATTGCACTTACCCAGCTTTATGTGGGTATGCGACTGTTTTTATATCGGGTTTTATCAATTTAGCTACCGCCAGCTCTTATCTATCATAACTTACCACAAAAGATAAGGATCAAACACATTAATTTTTTATGCCATTGAAAGTTCCACCTTTACTTTTGACCCTCTGGTGTGAACTGCTGTTTGAACTACTTTCATGAATATACTGTCATTGGCAGCAGACAACTGGTGGAAAATGGATAAGATTGACATTACCTTGATTGATCTTCATTCCAAAGGAACCATCTGGAATCCCCGTAGCAATGTAGCATAACTTTTTTTCACGTGTCTAACTTTCTTTATGCATTCAAAAATATACACTTATTAGTTATTATGATGCAGTGAATGATAGTTAAGATTTTTTTGTTTGAGGCTCTTAATGCTTGATCATTTTGTAGGTACACGAAAGGGGGGATAATGGAGAGGTTGATGTCCTCACAAAAGGTAGTATAACCCAATTTTTTATTAATGAATTTGATTTTCATTCTTTTCTCCATATCCATTCATAATTTTTGTAAGTTGTCCATTTTATCTAGTTGTTAACTGTTGATGTAATGCCCTCGGTTATTTATTTTTCTGTTTTTGGCAGGAGATAACAATTACGGCGATGACAGGCTTCTGTATGCTCATGGTCAGCTGTGGCTGCAAAGGCACCACATTATGGGTAGAGCCGTCGGGTATAGCATTTCTTTTGCACTTGATTCTATACATCTCTTGAAAGCGTCATTCCTCCATTACCATGCCAACCTATATTATTATTTGCAATCAAAGGATAAAGGTTGTATGCCTTTAAGTGTCAAACTATAATAAGAAAATGATCTGTGGCATTAAGGTACTATGCATGCATGGCCAATGCCTCTGTGAACACTTCTTGGGCCTTCGAACATGATATATACCAAGGGTTTGCATTCTATAGTATGAAACATGTTCAGTTGAAAATCATTTTATGATATTTGCTTGTTTTTGTCAATGACAGGTTCTTACCTTATGTTGGCTGGGTGACAATTATCATGACCGAAAAACCTATCATCAAGGTTTGTTTACTCCTCCAATCCACTGAATTAAACAGAAAGTTGTGGAGTTTCATATCATGCTTTATACACGATCGTAGCTATGATTTTCCACTTCTCTTTCAAGCAAACTCTTTATATTAGAGCGACAATGAAGTGTGCTAAAGCTGTCTCTTGTATTTTGCAGTATATTCTCATTGGTGCTTTGGGGTTGCTCGTGATAACTTCGAAAGAGTAATGCTGAATCTAAATCAAGTTACGGTCTGACCTCCAAGAGTACTATAAGCAAATGTCATGCTTTGTTTGAACTTGAAGGTGTCATTTTGTACCATTAACAGCATAATGTTAAGAATTAATACAAAGTAGTTGAATTTTTATAATGTCTTTTTATTGTTTGTTGGTTGATTTTATAGTTTCTATGTGTATGTTTAGTTCCTCAATGAATTCTAGAAATTGTCACATGTTTCAGTGTTTTCAATTAGAATTGGTTTTGCCTCTGAAATTTGTTACAGATTGAAGTTAGGATATGGATATTTTATCTCTGGAATTTATTCGTAGCTTGAAATTTATTGTTGAATTTACTTTTACATAGATGTATATAGTCATAAAACATTTTACATTTGAAAGTGAGAAAATTAAACACAAGAAGAAAAAGGGTTCAATTTTTCAGAAAATAGACAAAACAGTGTTTTTCCCTATATGTTATTCGTTATGGTTCTCAATTTAGACATACCATTTGAAATTTGTCCTTAATTTAAATTAATTTTTGAAATTACAAATGGTAAACACTTGCAATGAGTGAAAGAATATTTTTGAAACATAAAAATCAAACAAAAGATGCGTCACATTTCATTTGGTAAAGATTGGTATAAGAAAAACAATTAGCATAACATTTTAGAAGGATGGGTTTTCTAAGATTTTGAGAAAAATGGAAAGAACTGCGTAAAAATGAAAAACGTAAGGATGTGAGTTATTTTATTCTGAAGGCGTTGTGGTTGATAGTTTATCTTGCAATGCTATGTGTGAATTAGAAGTTATCATCAATTTGATGCCAGTGTCCATGATGAGGAAGTTAAAATGTGGTGAGAACTGACTCACAGAGGAAGTTAAAATGTGGTGAGAACTGACTCACGTTACGCTAACATTAACAGATAGATCAAAATCGACTCACGTTACGCTAACATTAACAGATAGATCGATCACACATCCTTATGGAATTCTTGAAAATGTTCTAGTGAGAGATGATGACTTAGTATTCTCAAGAGATTTTGTGATTCTAGACATGTTGATGTGTTAAAAGACCGCAAGTGCACGACAATGTAAAGTAATATAATAAGATCGATCCCATTGAGAGGTGAGTTTGAGTACTGATTTTTATCTTAACGATGTGTAGCTAAAGCGATTGAATATTCAAAGATTCGAATGAAATAAAATTAACATATAATAAAGACAGAACATGGGGTAGTTATCATATATCTTGACTCACCCTATAAATCATACGAAATTGAACATGAGAATATCAAAGCAAATTACACACGCGCACGCGCACACACACACTACACCCATTTTTGTGGCATGCATATTAGACATGTTTCTGTCATGACTAAGCGACTTTCTTAATCGAGAGTTTGCGGTCCAATATCGATTCATATCCTTTCGGACTACGATCATATATGAGTTGCCTTTGCTTTTGTAACCGACACAAATATATACAAGGTTTCAGATTCTAAAATAAAAATACTCATAATTCTCTTGGTTTATGTTCAGATAAATCAATTTGAGGATCACCGTGAGATAGAATCAGAAAGAATCAATTATCTGCCAAGCGTCGTTGGATTGCTGTTTTCACCAGAGTTGTGGAGAGAAAGGGGGTGTACCTGCAAGGCACTCCGATGCTTAAGTGAGTAAAAGATCAGAGAGAAAGCAGGCATAAAGGTTAGGTGTAGAAAAGAAGTTACCTGACATTCCAGTGAAAGAAGGTATTTATAGTGTGTCCCTAGCGCAAGGCCAACGACTACATTGTATTAGGGCAGACTGGCAGGCCCAACCCACGTAACTGTCAGGACTTACGTGGAGTAATGAATACCAACACGTGGTATTCACCCTATATCAACTCTCCCGTGATCTTCGGAAGGTGGATTGACCGACTCTTTCGGAGGTGGATAGTTGCCTAATGACGCATCCCTGCGTGGGGGAAGTGCGTGAGCTTATCCATCAAGAAGATCTTATGCTCGACACATGTGTCTGGTTGAGGCATGTGCCCGACGGAGGAGGATAACATATCATTGGGTTGGACCTGCGCGACTGAGGGGAAGGTCCTGGCCCAGTTTAGAACAATATCCTTTCGGACTACGATCAAACATGGATTGCCTTTGCTTTCGTAACCGACACAAATATATACAAGGTTTCAGAATCTAAAATAAAAATACTCATAATTCTCTTAGTTTACGTTCAGATAAATCAATTTGGGGATCACCGTGAGATAGAATCTCACGACCCAATATCCTTAGAAAATTACTCACTCATGGTGAGATTAACAACAATCAACTAAGGTAAAAACATAGCATGCATAATAAAATAAACAAAGTAAAAACAATTGTAATAAAATGAAATAAGAGAAATAAACTTAAAGGAAAATAATACTTGAATGAAGGAAATCCGAAAAATTACAGCAGAAGTTTCATAAAAGTAACTTGAGAACTTAAATTTAGAAGCTGAAATTTAAAAAGCAATTATCTAAAAGTGACCCTCCTAATTCCAACCAAGCGACATCTATTTATACACGAAATACATCAATAATCCACTTAAGTTCATGCAATAATCATGGAGGAGAAGTTATCTACCTTCCAGAAGGAGCTGGGTAGCCTTCAGGACAAGAATAAACTTGCTAAGGCATTACAAGAGGAGGTGAAGGCACACAACTCTCATTCCACCCTATTTTCCTCAATCCTTGAGTTGCAACCTTTTCTTAATGCAAAGAAAGTGAGGCACCAGGAGACATCTAATGTTGTTACTACGAAGATTGCCTTACTGAAGAGGATCAGAAGGCTTTTCACAAGAAAATGAGTCTTGTGCATAGGATCAGAAAGTTCACGAGGATGAGGCGGCTGCTCTAAAGAAGAGAGTTGGGGAGTCTCTTTAGAAAACAATGGAGAATGTGTATGAAGCTCTCGAACAACCAGTAACTCAGGTTAAGGAGAATAGGAGATATGTCTGGGCATTCATATCCCTATCGAAGGACTTGGTCCTTTCAAAGCTGCTCCCGATGGGGCCTTGGTCGACGATTAACTTTGGCGCCTCAGAACGAGGAAGCTTAATCACTCACTTATTTTTTATATATTTATTATTGCATCAAAGATTTCTTTTTCTTCCTAAAATTTAAAATTTGTTTGCCTTGTGGACGTTGTTGATGTCCTTTGTGTTCGTCAAACTTTATAGTTTCTACTTGAGTTTTGTTATTACTAGCTTTGGTTAAGAAGAGTTATTGTGATTCTTCAGTGTCTCTACGAACCGTATCTGGCCAAAGTTAAGGTTCTTGTCTCTTCCCAAAAGATATACCTGATTTAGGATGGAAGTCTCCAGGCTCCACCGCATACGCTCTTGGAGTGACTAGTTCCTAAGAGGAGGTGTGCCAACTACATTGAGAAAAATGATCCTTTATTATGGGAACTGCCTTGAAAGAATGACATATGTTACTCTATATGAGATTATATGACTCTTTATGGTCGCAGTGTCTCATAGTTAGTAGGATAGTTATTAAGATTGTGCAAAAAGCTTGACAAAGTAATTAACTCGTAGAGGAGGTCACGAGGGTGTCATGTTCCCCTTATTCTTACTTATTCTTTGGCCAATCATATTGTTGACTGTTGTGACCTTCTTTTTGTCCGTCTTGTTGAAGCTCTCATCTACAAAAAATATATATTTATATCCCTTTAATTGACGGTCAATACAAATTGGTTGACATCCTTGCAAGTGTCATTGTTAACGATTGCGGAGGCTCGTTTGTCTCTGGCGATTGCCCAAGGTTATCCCTTCTGAACGATTGGTCGAATAATATCTTTTTGCCCCTTAATTTTGAGGTAGACGTCGCTCTTCACAATCCTTTAAGGCTCAATTGGGCTTCCAAGAGATATAAGTGATGACTCTTGGGTCTGATTGGGTTTTGCTTACTCTGAGAGCATTGTTGAATGGAGATAAGGTTTATTGAGAGATTCTCCACTAAGTGCTTTCTCGATCCATGGGGATCAATTTTTGCCACCTCCTTTGTAATTAGGGTGTTCGTAGTGCAGTTTGGGTGATTTTGACGCTAATAGTCATTTGAACCACGAGAGAAAAAAACGTGTGAGTTGGTTTGGTTTGGTTGACTTTTAGAAATAAAATAAAACTAAATCAAACCAATGTGGTTTGGTTCGATTTGGTTGGTTGGGTTTTCTACTAAATTTTTATTGAACCATACATACACATATGATGCCAGCATAACTTTGTATTTAATCATTCATACACTACCAAATAACATCAAAACACATCATATTTGGACAACAACCTCTCTTTTTATATATAAAAATTAGATAATGCAAAAGTGGAATAATAACATAGAACAATATCAAAAATATTAAAATGAAGAGAAAAAAAGGAGATGAAAGATTAGTGAATATGAAAAAGAAACAATAGAAGAGAGGAGAGATTAGAGAAGAAGAAGTGTGATACAAACGAAATTGGAAGATTGAACAATAACATAAAAATGAGAAGGTGAAAAAGAAATAGTACGATAATCTTACTGTTTTGTGTTTTTTGGATGAATGTTCAGTGGAAATCACTATGGTAATCTAATTTTTTTTGGGTTTTCTGGATGAATTTTTTGTGGAAAACTACGATAATCTTAAGGAGGAGACTTTCTAAGATGTTAGTTACCAAGAACATTTATAGTTCCTTTAATCGATGTCTACCATCCACTATACTATCTTTTTTTATCCGAACATGTCTAGATGATTTCAATGATGTTCTCTTACATGTCAAGTCATTAAGTATCATATTAGGATTGTCTAGTGACAATAACATATTAATAACTCATATGTTAGTATTATTTAATAAACTAAGATGGATAAAAGAATGTTTTTGGTTCAGTTTTTTGCATTTAATTAGGAGCGGATGAAGTATTATTTAAATTAAGCCATTGATTCTCCTTTTTATAGATCAGACACATCAAAAAACCAACTTCCTATCGATTATAGTCAAGAA